ACAAATGTTGACTGGACCATTGCCTTTTGTAACGACAATGCTCAGTCTTAAATTTCCTGTTACCGGATGGCAACAAGGGGACATCTCAAAAATTGCAAAAATCACTATTTTGCCTCGATTTTTTCCATCAAAATTTATTTTCAAAGTGCTGGAACTTCTCAAGGGATTGAGATAGAGTCAAAGGCTTTTCAGCGTTGGTTACACCTTACCTTATGATTGACCTGGGTCATTTTAAGCCTCTCACAAGTCCGAAATTTTCTGGCGATGAGGGGGGATTTCGCCCCCCTTCAAACCCCCAAACGAAGGGGGCACATCCCCCTTCTGGCAAACCCCCTGATGTATCTTTTGGACTGGGGGGGGCGGTGCCTAAAAAGTGCTCACTTTTTTTTAAGCAACATTTCTCAAATTGAAAACGTGTTTGGGGCCCAAAAAAATAGGACATTTTTCACTATTTTCAGGCCTAAAAAAAAAGGGGGGGGGGTTGAAAGTGCGTTTTTCGGCGTATATATGAGGTAAAGGGTTAAATGCGATATGGTAAATATTTACTTCATTTAAAAAAAAACAATTATTTGCATAGATTTAAAATAATACTTACATTGGCTTAAATATACAAATAATAGTCCAGCTTCATTATGAGACATTATTTAGCTTCGTAAAAAATAAATTTGTAGAAATTTTTGTACAAGAAGTCTTCGATTGTTTTAATGTACAGGAAATGGTTTTACAGTTCTTGTTAATTGACGACTGACTAATTCAGCTGCAAAATATTATCACAATGTTTTTTAACCTGTTATCTATTTTTTTCAGCCTTTTTTCAGGAAATAAACTTTGTGTCTTATGATTTAAAGTTCCTGTCTTCAGATAGACAAAAAAATAGCATTCTTGTACAACTTTTTTTTATGTACAGTCATTTAGTTATATGTAACAAACATATGCTGCATATTTTAAATGCTTATTAAGCAGCATGTGACAGAAAAATTGTTTGGTCTAATACTACGATGAGGTATAAGTCTTATGGTAAACAAAATGGATGCAATTTAAGATTACAGGACTCTGTTGACAGGTGGTTTAAGTTTCGGGAAGCAAATCCACTGTGAGTTCCAAACAGGGACTTTGGATTTCAATTAAAATGGAAGGAGGTAGATAAGGGGAAATTGTTGGGTTCACTATTGGGTGCCCGATCATGCCTGAAAAATACTGGAAATTCATTATCATTTTGTGGGGCACTAATTTTTTGTGGTTTTTTGTGGATACCCGTAGGTCAGAATTTAGAAGTATCCACATCTGGTGTTTAATATGGCGAAGACATGATTGAACAAGCCTAAGGGTTCTCAAATTTTTGTGATTAACCTGGTTAACTGATCTATGAAAAATGCTTGACTTTCAACACTGTAGGCCCTAATCCTACAAGTGATATAATTAATTCTGTCATATAAGACTTACTCCAAAATTTAGAATATTTTTGGATTTTCCCAGCTAATTCGGGGGTACAAACACACTTTTACAGTTGCAGTGCCAAAAATAAGCACAACAGGTTAACTTATCTGTTGTGACCGATAGTGCAACAGTAAAAGTTTGTTTTTATGGGTGGATGGGGGATTATCTTGGAAAAACCCACATTTGCCTGGCTCCAAATAACATCTATTGGGTGCCAGTATGCTAAAAAATAATGTTTAACGTGAAAATATTGAAATGCTAAACTTGACAAGAAACTGTAATTTAATTCAATGGAAAAAGATTATCAGCATAGACTTTATTCAGAATGTTTGGCTTTGACATACCTGTGTTTTAAGAGTACCTATGTAGTTGTGACATCTTGATGTACATATGGGATATAAGAATAGGAAATTTGGCGCAGAGAAAAGGAAGGTGACGGGGTTATGACATAATCTGCTTGTTTAATGATCTACCCAGTGTACCCTCTTAGATGTTCTTTGCTATAGAGGAAAATGCAAGCTCCGATGCTTGCTCACACTGCTATTCCGCTATCAACATTGGATAAACATAGGATGTAAATTGCGGAGTTGATAAGATACCGGAAAATTCAGTTATACCGTGTAATCATCACCTTTCAATAAAAAAACTGCAAAAATTTCATCAAGTTTGCAGGCAAATCCGCAGGTTAAAAATTCTTTACGCTGTTTAGCAATTGGTTAAGAAAGATAACCTAAATAGGTGACCTTAAATGTTCGATAACATGTTTTGTGTAAAGAATCATTGACCCAGGAATTTCGTTCTCAACAAGTGATTGACATTTGATACTAAACAAGCACTTCTAATGGATAAACTTGATTCTTCATTTGTTGAAGGTCAATGGAAATTGCTGGCGGATTATTCCGCTTTATAAACTTTATTTTGAAATACAATGACCTTAGGTTTAGTAATTATTTCTCAACAATAATTGAATTGTTAGAGCTATACTTTAAGTAACATTTAAAATAATGTGGATCAAATTGGGGGAAAAAGTAATCTAGATCTACATTTTTTTAGATTGGAAAATGTTTTGAACATTTTTATACCTCTTGTAAAACACTCCGTATCTAATTTATTATATTCATATATATTTAAAACAATGAAGGTTAGATTTATAAAATTGTATAGCTTGATCAAGATGTGAATTCTTATTTGCTCCACACATTCAGTAACCACAGCACATATTTAATAGTTTTGTTTTGAGAAAAAAAATGAATTTTAATATTTTAAGAAATGTTAACATATTCACAGTCATGTGATATGGAATATGTAGCAGATTTTCAGGGTTTATTTAATATAAAAATTGTTTCTTGATGCAACCTGCTTTTAGCTGTTTGTTAAAGTTTTGAGCATTTTATTCGGTATTTGTATGTCTTTAATACCTTTATAAATATGTTTTAAATGCATAATGTTGCATTAATCTGTTCATAGAGACCGGTGTGTATAAATTGTAAAGGTGGTCTGATTCTTCAGATGGTCTCTTGTATGAAATGAAACATTATTGACTTATGAGACTTTGTTCCGTTACTTAAGGATTCTGTGCATTGTTAAGTTAAACGGCAAATATTGCAAGCTAGGTTCATGAAATGACGCATCCAGCAGGTTCACCTTTCATATCTATTCAAAGCAATTATAGTATTTGCTGGACATAATTGACAGTGTTCAAAGGACAAAATTATTCAATTTAGTGGTATTTCAAAATTAAGTTTCCTGTTGGGGAAAAAAAAATATTTCATAAAGATGCATTAAATGAATTGAAATTTCAAATTATGATATCTTGAAAATATAAAGAAGAAAAAAATGATTAAGTTGTTATATGATAATAAAATAATTACATAACGCATGGATGATCTCTTTTTGCATCAAGTATTGGCCTCAGTCATGGTTTTTTTCTTCGATACCCAGAAGTTCAATTAGTTTGAACTAGATGAACTACGGGAAAAATGTGAATGAGAAAAATAGAAACCAATGTAATTAGATGAATGGTGTACCGGAGATGTAGACTGATATCAGGCTATTTCCTATACCATTCATTGTGTGGTTGTTTTTTTGGCGGGATTTCTCATTGATACTGGCGTATGTGAGATCCTGTAAAGGTACGGGATAGGACAGTATTGACACAGTCGTTCTGTATTTATCATAAGGTTAATTTACCTTTTTTAACCAGGTTGTAAAGCCGATTTTAGAGAAATGTTATAGGTTTTCTACATGACATTTAGCTGTTTTTGTAGATTAATAAAGACCACCCAATACTCCAGCATGGTTGTTTGTTTATTATATGGCAAATTTGACTGATTACTGATCTCTACTTTTGAACATAATTTATGAATTATTTCTTTTGATGACACTCTTTGGTACGAAATTAAAATCTTACAAAAGTTTTTGTTCTATGTTTTATGTTTGTATTACTTTTGACACTTTTGAAGTAGTTTTCCTTTAATTAAAATACATAATTATTGGATATTTTTTTTTTTCTTCTTGTATGATTTTGAAGTATTTCATCGTGACACCTTTTGTGTTGAGGTGCATTTTCTCACGAAAATATCGAAATGTAATATAAGCTTAGTACACAGTGTTGTTAAGTCAATAGTATTAGCTAGTTTTTAAGCCAAGCTGCTAATAAATTATTTATTGACATTTCTGTCATGAATATTCAACTTTATGCTGTCCGTGTTATGAAAGAGTACTTCAGGCTTAATGAAAGTATTGCAAAAGCTATATTACAAAAATTGGGTGTACTTTCTTTTTATTTGACATATGTATATATATTGCTATATATGAAACCACGCAAACCCGTCTCTGCTACCAATTTTTACCTGGAAAAGTAATATAGGCTCAGATTTATATCCCTGTAAAGTCGTAGAATTTTGATATTTGAGAAAAAAATATGTTTTGAACATGAATGAGAAAGCTTCAATTGAAATTTTCTACAAATTTGAAATTCCTCGACAATTTTGCAGTAATTAAAATTCAAATAATGCTGTCTTATTACTGGTATAAAATTTTTAATACAAAAACATCTTACTGGAAATGAACAATCTATCAACATTGGTTATGAAGTAATAAGATTAAATGACTTCTTATCCAGTTACCTCACTGGCGTGGGTTCGATCCCCGGGAGATGCTTTGGTAGTTTAGCATGGAGGAAGGTAATCTAGTACTGGTGTAACTTTCCAGGAACAATGGTTAGGAAACTATCCGCCTAATGACTGAAATACTGTTGAGGAAAGGCGTAAAATGAAACAAACAAACAAACATTGTGTTTAAACTGTGTGCCTGTTTGCTAAGAAGCTTGCACATTAAAATAGAGAAAAATAAGAATCTGCTGTAATATAAATAGAGAAAATAAGAAGCCTGCTGGATTAGGCCTTTGCATTGCAATTCCAGTCTGTCAGACCTAATTCGATACTGTTGTGTGTACAAATTAAATGTTTTGTTATTAAAATGGGCAACGTTTAAATGTTCTGAATTCAAGGCTTATATTGTTCCGACAAGTGCTCAATATGTAATCATTCTTTTATTTACAGGACGATGGCGCCTCTCAGAGATGCCGTGCAAAGTAAGCTCTCCATTTAACCCTGATCTGGCCTCTGCCTTTCTGGAGGCGGAGATTCTCCCTACCTCGGGATGCATGACCAACGCAACATCTAGAAAATCAGGCGCTGAAATTCATGTAATAAATTACCAAGGAAGCAAAGAACAGAATGTTGAACTGCTATTGAATGACTTTGAGAAAAAAGGTTGGTTCTTTGTTAATTTGATTAAGTTTAAAAAATTAATAAGACCATATCCTTTAAAATTAACCCTTATCAAGCTATACTATCTAAAATAGCTGAAGCTTTAATTATGCCATTGAAACATTTCCATTTATTTGACAAAAGTTCCTTTGGTCAGTGGGATACAAGAATAAATTTATTACTTTTTAGCTCGACTATTCGAAGAATATGAGAGCTATTGTAGTCGCCCCGGCGTCGGCGTCAGCATCCGCGTCGGCGTCTGCGTTGGTTAAAGTTTTTTGTAAAGTCAAATATCTCAATTGTTACTTGAGATATTCAATTGAAACTTACAATACTTATTTATAGTAACAAGGTACATCATATTGACAAGTTGGATAACTCTGCCTACAATATTGACAGAATTATGCCCCTTTTTAACTTAGAAATTTTGGTTAAAGTTTTTTTGTAAAGTCAAATATCTCAGTTATTGCTTGAGATATTCAATTGAAATTTAAAATACTTTTTTATAGTAACAAGGTTCATCAGTTTGCAAAATTGCATAACTCTGCCGGCAATATTTGCAGAATTATTTGCCCCTTTGAAACTTAGAAATTTTGGTTAAACGTTAAAGGTCTTCAAAGATATTTACTTGAAACTTTACACATGCACTTAGGGTCATAATTTGAGGGTCATAATTGTATGTCACTGACCAAGTTCCATAACTCTATCTTGCATTAAGGCTGATTCATATCCCCTTTTCTACTTAGTCTCTTTGATAATGTTTACATGCAAGTTTTACATATCTCAATAACTATTAAAGATATTTATTTAAAACTTCACATATGCATTTAGGGTCATAATTGTAGGTCACTGACAAAGATCCATAATTCTATCTTGCATTCAGGCTGATTTTTCTCCCCTTTTTCAACTTAGAAATTCATGGTAAAGTTTTGCTTGTAAGCTGTTATCTCAATAACTACTGAAGGGTTTGTGCCTTTTTTGGGACAATTTTATGCATTCATAATAATAAAGCAGTGATTTACTTGATAAAACATCTTAATAACATAAGCGTTTGTACCTTTTCTGTCAAATTTATGTATTCATAGGTAATTAGTATTATTATACTCAATAAAACACCCTTGTGACATTACCTTCCGAATAGTCAAGCCAATACTGTATAATTAGACTATCTCTAAGGCCTATAACATGAATTTATATAAAAAAAATTAGCCCTTTTGTGAACTTAAAAAATTTAACATTATCAAGGCTCTTTTACTATCAAGCACTTAGAATAGTCGAGCGTGCTGTCCTACCGACAGCTCTTGTTATATATAAATTCAAAAGGGAGATCCTTAAAAATTGATGTTGTCTGCCCATCTCCCTGTTGTGATCCATGTATTTATTTTATTTTTTCCAAATTTAATAAAACTGGGCATAACTGTAACTTTGAGTAGGAAAATGAGGTGCATTTAATCCACCTTGGGGTCATTGAGTTATGGCCCTTTGTTAGATAAAAACAGGCATTTTTTAAAGCAAAATTTTTGTTTTTGGCAAGAATTTTTACAAGTGCTTGGTTAAATTTCTAAATGATAGTAAGAAAATGATGTTTATGTGAAACATACTGTATAATGTTTTAGTGTTAGTTTTTGGTTTTTGGGATCTGGGTAAAGTCTGATTCCAATCAAAAGTTTAAATTAATTGATGTACATCTCAGAATACAAGTGCCATGGGAGATAGTATTTAAATTATGTTCATTCTTGAAAATGAATTTGATAAATTGAACATTAAAAGTTTCCTACTTCACTGCTTATGAATTTAATAATAGTCACTAATGTATTATAAATGAGTGACCATATGACATTTATTATACACATTGTCAAAATGAGCCGCGTCATGACAAAACCAACATAATGGGTTTGCGACCAGCATGGATCCAGACCAGTCTGATCAGGATCCATGCTGTTCGCTTACAAACCCTATTACAAGTAGAGAAACTGATAGCCAACAGCATGGATCCTGATCAGACTGGGCGGATGCGCAGGCTGGTCTGGATCCATGCTGGTCGCAAACCCATTATGTTGGTTTTGTCATGACACGGCTCAAATAATATCTTAATGTTGTTTTTATCTCAAAGGACATCCTAGCTTTACTATAGGAGCTTAATTTTGCTTGACAATTGCTTATTTCTTGTGGATTTTATATCGATACCAATTCAATTTCACTTATATTTTGAGGTACATAACACTAAGAGAAGCCTTAATCAAGTACTTTTGTAGCATATGGCATAATATATGGGATATCAATTCAGTTAATTTGCTTGTCCCCCATGGGATGACTTTCACCCCACTCATGGTCGCCCACCATTATGGTGCTATTGAATTGTACCACCAGGTCTTTTAGGTATCAATTAAAACTTGGCTGGCAAGTAGTAAATTTGTTTTGCTCATTACAAAAAATAGCAGTGTATAATTCTAGTGGGATTACAAGAGCAGACTTGCTCCACCAGTATAAAGCCAGGCCAGTCTGTACTTCCATGCAGTCTGAGACTCGGGCCAGGGTCTATACTGATGGTTTGGTCAGTATATTGAAATCCCTTAAAGTGAATTGGTCTATAATGGAAGGTTTGTGTTACAATAAGTAATTACGTTGATAGTATTTAGTATTAGACATAAAAACAAACCACAAAAAAATTATACATAGATGTTTTTGGTGACTGTGAGATACAGGATCTGATATTACATATATTTGTATAGCAGAAAATAAATTGTTGTAAACAAAATATTTTTATTCATCAGACGAATGTTCATACTAAATCACTTAGAACTTTATCAACATTTTTTTCTTTCAAGTAATATTTCATAAGAATATCCAAATGATACATTTCTATAGTTTTTATCAATATTTGAAACACTTAATACGGAAAAATGTACCCATTGAAGACCAATTCCCTTTAAACTACCCTAAACTACCCTTGTATGGCATTCTTCTTGTTTTTCTTATTCATTGTTATTAGTAATGGATTAATAAGATGAGAAAGTTACTAGTAATAGATTCTAAAGGCTAACCCAGCAGAATTACAGCAGATTTGGGTGATCAATATCTCTATTAAGAAACACGGCCTAGTTACATGGCAAGTATGCAAAGCTGGGATATTTCTTCTGCATGGTTGTTATGGAATAAAATGACAAATTATTGTTTAAATACAACTTATTTTTTGATGGGTTTCGTTTTTTTTTTCCCAGATAAAATGAGAATGTGTATTAATATATGTATTGATAATGATTTCATCAAGTTATTCTAAGTGATTGACGAAAGACTTTCCTATGACACTAGTAAAAATTGAGGCGTCAGTCAGGCTGCATGTCCTGTCCAGTCTGACCGGACTTTTTACTGTTGACTGTGTAGCGAGCGCATGAAAAAAAAAGCGGGGGAAATTGGGTCAAGTTTACACTTCTGTTTGTCACTGCACTGCCGGTTCAATGCAGAGGTTTCATTTTGGTGCCAAAGATAGTTGGTGATATGCCAGTACAGGGAATTTAGCTGCGATTTTACCATTCAGGGAGGGGCAAATTTTTCCGGATGGTTTGATAATCTCAACGTTCCGGGCTATTTCATTTCATTTAGGATGACAATGGACTAGTGGGTTTACCCTTAATATGCTAGATATCTTAAATGAACTTGTCCATCAAACAATTTGGACTAAGCCATACATCAATTTTAAGGAGAATTTCAAAAGAAATACTGACTGACTATCGAATAGTGCTGACTGATTTGAGCTGTTGGATCTTAGTTTCTGCGCCCTGGCTGCATTTTCAGTTATTTGCCATCAGGCTAAAGGTTACTTGTAACAGTTCAGAGGTTATTTCAAAAGAAGTTTAGAACTTTGTTAGTTTAAAAAACAACAAACGTATTCATGTATGTAGAAAATAAACTGATATTTTTTAATATTCTTGAGATATCTTTATTTGATAGAATCTTTATTAAGTTCATTGGCCACAAAATTAAGTGGTTTCATATAAAATATAGATTTTATTACCTTTGATATTTTCGATAACAAAAAATCTGAATTTTATTGATTATTTAAGAAAAAAACTATTGCCATAATAAAAGTTTGGGCAAAATAATGTAGAATGCACTTTGTCTTCTATATCTTTGAATGGAATGGGATTTAAGGCGCATTTTGTGTCAGAAATGAATTCATTTTTTCTTCTTTAAACATGAATTTTTTAACGTTTAAATAGTGAATTTTAGACAATATTAGATACTTATCACCTGAAGAACTTTAAGTGATAAATGTGAAAGAGTTTGTTATATAAGTAGTAAAATATAAACAAAGTAGTATTTTGACTTCCATACAAAATACCAATTCACTATAACTGTACTAATTGCCAAACAGCAACAGATGAAAAAGAAAGTTTAGGTACTTTTTGGAAACTCTAGCAGAACATGTGCAACAAACATAAAAAGCTTTTGAGAAATAAAAATAAAAGTATTTCTGAGGCATAATGGGCCTTTAAAACTCTGAATAATATCTTATTATTGGCTGTTAAGATTTTGTATGCGTTTCTATTTTTTCACAACCATGAATTCATTTGTATCATCACAAAATGGCATCAAATGATATTTTAAGGTCACTAATCAAGACCCATAACTCTTTAACAGGTTATTTTTGTACTGAATTGTTCCCCTTTGTAAAACTTAAATTTTTTTTTTCAAGACTCTTACAGTACCATCAAACTTAATGGAATAATTGAGAGTGTGTTGACAAATTTACAGCTCTTATTATACTTCGTACAAAAAATTGATTATTGATATGCGAAGAATCCTCCCTTGAGCTCACATAAATTTCATTATTTACAATAATTATGCTGAAAAAAAGCTACTGATTTGTCAAGAAATAATTGCAAGAAATTGTGATATTATTATAATAGTTTAGACGGACTGTTGTTTCTTTCAGGTTTTGATGAACCGTTTGTGATCATTCTCTCTTCCAATGTTACTGTATACTGGCAAATACGTCTACGGCAAAATCCGAAAAATCTTGGAAAACACACCTTTGTGGTAAGTACAGATAAGTGGCATAGGCCTGATGTAATTTATGGTTGGTTTCATGCGTATGTGGCATGTATCAATAAATATTTTGCAAACTACTACAAATAGTGGATAGATTGTAGGAGAAAAACCAAATGTTATTAATATGTTTGAACTTCCATATTGAAATTATTTTGCAAAAGTCTTCTTTGAAGAGAATGTGATAATAGCTGTATAATGCAATAGTTGTTGTTTCAATGGAAAAAAATTATACTATAAGTTGTAAGCCATGAGTTACAAAACTATGGTACCTCAGACTGTAGAGATTTATATACAAGAATATATAAGAATTATGTAGAACTGATAAAATTGTAGAATATTTGTGGCCTAAAAACCACACCTAAGAAATTAAACAGTTTTTGTTTGGCCTAATAGTTTCCTAAAGGAAGATAGTTTCCTAAGATTTAGAAAAGCCTGCTTTGTTATTTTGTGATAAAATACAAAATTTCCATGTTTTTTTTTGTAATTTGGTGAATTTGTTATAGCCCGTTATATGTGTAATCACCAATAAAAGGGATTTCTTAACCTTTAATCTCTGAGAACCGAGAGTGACTAGCCCTCGCTACCAGTAAACACACATTTGTGCCGTATGCTCGGTCTCAAAACTGTTGGTAGTCAATTTCTGAATATTTCACCCTCGGACAATTTGAATGGACTGATCCAAAATCAAAGTCGGGCAGTTCCATTAGACAAATTTAGCAGGTGAAGGGATAACACATCGAAAAATGGACTTAGAGAAAACAATTTTTGTACTTCTATCTGTAAACCATAATGACTGTATGTATAAGTAAGTACTGACACAGAAAACGTACAAATTGAAATGTAAATATCGAGTCTGAGTGCCTGTGTAATGGCGAGGGTGAAAAAAACGAACTTTTTTTTCTTTTGAATTATACAACATTCCTATTTCTGTTAGTCAGACTCTATTTCATTTTCCATAAATACCAGGTTTTAAAGAGAAATACAGCGGCAAATGCAAAGTACGTTTTTTTAGCTGACTTGCGATAAAAAAAATCATTTTTATCGGGACGTGCTCTTTATTTTGGGTGCACAGTGTGGTATATTAATTAGTCTTACGAAACCATCAACACTTCAAAGGGTAGTCTATTTTGAGGTTGGTGTAACAAGGAAAAAAAACATTTCAGTGTGAAAATTAGGCAGGTACTAACCATGCATGATTCCTCTAGTTATTATGCATGCAACTTCAGTATTTTTATCAGGTAAAAGTTGAAAAAATATGCCTACCATAGTATACTGAATAAATGTACATGCTGTAAGGAGGAAATGCAATTACCATACTTAGTCTAAAATATTCACATATTTTTATATTTGAAAGAAAGGGAAGACTATTAAATTTGATTGATTCGACAGTAAATGAGTAGGATTTTATCAAGAATTAACATGATATAGTTACTAAAACAGCCAATTTGCAAACATGCAGTGATTTTTTTTTCTTTGAATTTTCAAAACTTTCTAAAGGTGAAAATATAGCAGAAAAAGGAGAACCCCTGAAATCAATTTCCAACAACTGACAATGGAATATACCCACATATTTTATCAAATTTTCAATTTAATTTTAAATGCATGGTACATAGCAAGGATTTTAATGCTAGGAAATTCATTGCCCTTTGATGCTATACACTTTTTAGCTCACCTGTCACAAAGTGACAGGGTGAGCTTTTGTGATCGTTTTTTGTCCGGCGTCCGTCCGTCCGGCATCCGTAAACTTTTACTTTAAATGACATCTCCTTATAAACCACTTAGCCAATTTCATCCAAACTTCACAGGAATGTTCTGTTGGTGGTCACCTTTGAAAATTGTTCAAAGAATTTAATTCCATGCAGAACTCTGGTTACCATGGCAACCAAAAGAAAAAACTTTAAATATCTTCTTCTAAGAAACCAAAAGAGCTAGAGCTTAGATATTTGGCATGAAACATGTTCTAGTTAGTGTCTACAAAGTTTGTTCAAATAAATGCCCTGGGGTCAAAAATGGCCCCGCCCCAGGGGGTCATTGATTTTCCCTATATGCATATAGTAAAAACTTAAAAAATCGACTTTTAAAGAACCAAAAGAGCTAGAGCTAAGATATTTAGCATGAAACATGTTCTAATGGATGTCTACCAAGTTTGTTCAAATAAAAGCCCTAGGGTCAAAATTGGCCCCGCCCCGGGGGTCATTGATTTTCCTTATATGTGTATAGTAAAAACTTAAAAAATCTTTTTTGAAAAAAAAACAACAAATAGCTAGAGTTTAGATACTAAGCATGAAACATCTTCTAGTGAGTGTCTACCAAGTTTGTTCAAATAAAAGCCCTGGGGTCAAAATTGGCCCTGCCCCGGGGGTCATTCATTGTCCTTATATGTGTATAACAAAAACTTAAAAAATCTTCTTTGAAAAATCTCAAATAGCTAGCGTTAAGATATGAAGCACGAAGCATCTTCTAGTGAGTGTCTACAAAGTTTGTTCAAATAAAAGCCCTGAGGTCAAAATTGGCCCCATCCCGGTGGGACATTGATTTTCCTTATATGTGTATAGCAAAAACTTAAAAATCTTCTTTGAAAAAACCCGAATAGCTAGAGTTAAGATATTAAGCTTGAAACATTTTCTAGTAAGTGTCTACAAAGATTGTTCAAATAAAAGCCCTGGGGTCAAAACTGGCCCTGCCCCAGGTGTGTCATTGTTTTTATCTATATGTGTAAAGAAAACACTTGAAAAAATCTTCTTTTAAAAACCCAACGAGCTAGACCTTAGATGTTTAGCATGAAACATCTTCTAATGGGTGTCTACCAAGTTTGTTCAAATAAAAGCCCTGGGGTTTAAACTGGCCCCGCTCCAGAGGCCTATATACAGGTGAGCGACTTCAGGGCCATCATGGCCCTCTTGTTTCTGCAAGTGTGTACATTCCCATTTTATGCTAGGTAGCTTATTCCTATTTGATGCTAGGCAGTTTTTTTCCCATTTGATGCTAGGCAATTTTTTTCCCATTTGATGCTAGGCAGTGTATTCCCATTTGCTGCTGTTTAGTCTGCAATTTGAGATGTAAGAAAAGAAGTCCTTGTTATTGAAACTATAAATAAAATTGTCTCTTGTGAGTTTTAGCAGAAACCATTTTTTTGCAGCAACTTGTTCTTTTCCTATGATGTGAAAATGATTCTAAAATGTTTTCCTTTTTTGCTGTGCAAAATTAGTCGTAAAATCCTTACAATTTCTGAAAATTTTGTGATGAAAGTAAAAAAATCACCTTGTCTTTTTAGTATGTGAAATCTGTAATGGAAATGCTTTTAGCAATATTTGATATTGAAGCATAAACATTGAAAGCTAATGTAATTCAGAATGATTAAGAGTAGAAAGAAAAAAATGGATATTAGTTCGAAGGTACTGAAAAAAAACCCCACTCACATACTGAAACTTGTGTGAATGCTTTATTGTATTGAGAATGACCTGCCTATACAAGCAAATATAGAGCCAGAAATGGAGGGAGGAATGAGTCAGGTCAGACTATGCAGAAGTACATCTTGCCTTGTCAGACTATGCAGAAGTACATCTTGCCTTGTCAGATTATGCAGAAGTGCATCTCGCTCGTCGGACTATGCAGAAGTACATCTTTCCTTGTCAGACTATGCAGAAGTACATCTTGTCTTGTCAGACTATGCAGAATTACATCTTGCCTTGTCAGACTATGCAAAAGTACTTCTTGCCTTGTCAGATTATGCAGAAGTACATCTTGCCTTAGCAGACTATGCAGAAGTACATCTTGCCTTGTCAGACTATGCAGAATTACATCTTGCCTTGTCAGATTATGCAAAAGTACTTCTTGCCTTGTCAGACTATGCAGAAGTACATCTTGCCTTAGCAGACTGCAGAAGTACATCTTTCCTTGTCAGACTGCAGAAGTACATCTTTCCTTGTCAGACTATGCAAAAGTACTTCTTGCCTTGTCAGACTATGCAGAAGTACATCTTGCCTTGTCAGACTATGCAGAATTACATCTTGCCTTGTCAGACTATGCAAAAGTACTTCTTGCCTTGTCAGACTATGCAGAATTACATCTTGCCTTGTCAGACTATGCAGAAGTACATCTTGCCTTAGCAGACTATGCAGAAGTACATCTTGCCTTGTCAGACTATGCAGAATTACATCTCGCCTTGTCAGACTATGCAGAAGTACATCTTGCCTTAGCAGACTGCAGAAGTACATCTTTCCTTGTCAGACTATGCAGAAGTACATCTTTCCTTGTCAGACTATGCAGAAGTACATCTTGCCTTGTCAGACTATGCAGAAGTACATCTTGCCTTAGCAGACTGCAGAAGTACATCTTGCCTTGTCAGACTATGCAGAAGTACATCTTGCCTTGTGAGACTCTGCTGAAGTACATCTTGCCTTGTGAGACTCTGCTGAAGTACATCTTGCCTTGTGAGACTCTGCTGAAGTACATCTTTCCTTGTGAGACTCTGCTGAAGTACTTCTTGCCTTGTCAGACTATGCAGAAGTACATCTTGCCTTAGCAGACTGCAGAAGTACATCTTGCCTTGTCAGACTATGCAGAAGTACATCTTGCCTTAGCAGACTGCAGAAGTACATCTTGCCTTAGCAGACTGCAGAAGTACATCTTGCCTTGTGAGACTCTGCTGAAGTACATCTTGCCTTGTGAGACTCTGCTGAAGTACATCTTGCCTTGTGAGACTCTGCTGAAGTACATCTTGCCTTGTGAGACTCTGCTGAAGTACATCTTTCCTTGTGAGACTCTGCTGAAGTACTTCTTTCCTTGTCAGACTATGCAGAAGTACATCTTGCCTTGTCAGACTATGCAGAAGTACATCTTAACTCATCAAACAGTGCAGAAGTACAGCTTGCCTGATCAAACTTTGCAGAAGTACAGCTTGCCTGACCAAACACTGCAGAAGAACAGCTTGCCTGGTCAGACTGTGCAGAATTTGGCTTGAATGCTGGGCCTATAGTAATGGCAAATCGACACAGTGAATCTAAAAAGAATCTAAATGAAACCAGTTATAGATAGTTTTATTTTTTTCTCAGTGACTGTGTACTTTCATGAAAAATTTACTCATATAATTTGA